CAAGGAGCTAATTACCCTTGTAAAGGTGTTCTTTTAAGAAGGTTGGGGTTTCCTTTGCTTTGTTTCTGTTGATGTTTTCACGTGTGTGTTGTGGAACAAACCAACTGCTACTTCTTTTCCCAATGTTGAAGGACACAGACCACTCCTCCTGGCACCACTTCACTGGGTGGGATCTCCATCCAGCTGGTGCACTTGGACATGTAACTCTGACACCTTGGTAGATTCACTGCTACTGTCTTGCCTCACTTCTACTCATGTTACAATATGTATTTCCTATTAAATCCATTATGTTTTCTTGGCAATTTGTTCTTTGTTTCCTTATGGGGTTTAGACAGGAATAGGTGGCAAGTGTCTGCTTTGCCACAAAGGTTCTGGAAGCGTCTGCTGCAACAGCAAATATTTGTGAGCAAAGTGGAAATTCATTAGAACAGCCTTAGGAAAGTGTCACAGCAGCTGAGAGCTGCACCATGACTGTATTTTACCACATCATGAAGGCTAAAAGCACATTCACCTGAAGGAGCAAATTATTGTAAGGCTCTAGTAACACAATGTAAACTCTTCTGTATTTTAACTTCCTTTTTTGTACTTCCTCTTCCTGGCTATTGTGTGTCCAGCAGTGACATTGTGACGGTGAATTAATTGATTTAAGGCACAGAAATGGATCACATTTCTGGAGCTGCAAGACTTCCTGGCAGCCTTCCCAGTTGTACCCCCCACACTGAGTACAGTGAATTAAAAAGAAAAAAAAAGGTTTCTTCTCAACGAGAAACTTTGCATTTATGTGTTCAGGACACAAAAATAACCTGATATGCAGATAGCTCTCCCAGTGTAATAAATGTTTGCCTGTATAATTAGGTGTGAAGGTTAACCTTGGTATCAGCAATTCTTGTCCCTCGTAAGAACATTCTGCCTTTTCGCTCTAGGATTGAGTTAACCTGTTACAAGGGTTGAAAGGTCTGTGCCTTCTTATTATATTTTCTCTTACTGAAACCAACTCCAGCCGCTCAGAGTTACAGAGCATTTGCAGCACTGTAAACTGCACAAATCTCCAACCATTGCTTCACTGCATGAAGTGTAGTCAGATTACTGGTGGTGAAGTATTGTAGTGATGAATTCCCAAGCTTATGAATGTTTTGAGACTTTTTTTTTTTAGTCTTCTCTTGGGCTGGTCCTGAGAGCGTGTACAGGTTTGTCTGTATTGTTGGTTTGTAGATGCTAATGAGGAAAACCAGGCTTTTGTTCTCTCCTTTTTGTTTGAATTGTTACACTCCCATATAGTGCATAGAATGCAAATAAAGAAATGTTGATTTGACATAATGTAAACAGCCTTTTCAGCCTAAGCATTCATAATAAACTTTTATAGTGTAACAACATGCTAAATCACTACCAGTCTGATGTATTGTGCAAAAACAAAAAACAAAAAAAAAAAGAAAAGGTGTAAACATTTTATTAATAAAAAGCTTTGTTTATAAATGTGCTGGCTTTGTTTATAAATGCTTCCAAAATTCTCAGCATCTTAAAAGCAGTCTCTATAGATAGGGTTATAGAAGAGGAATGTAAGCAATAGCTTTTAAAATAGCATTTACCAACTACTCAGATAGCTGTTTTCCAAAAGTACTGACTCCTGGTGGTTCAGAGACTGGAGCTTTTGCCTGGTTTATGTATACACAGACAAAGGCAGGAGACGATCTTGTGCAAAGAAGGGATGGGGGAGAACAGCAGAGAGAATGCAGCTTTTGTGTGACACTTCCTTTCTTTGCAGCATCATGTCTGAGAAACTGCAGGCCACACACAGTCCTGTCAGCCAGGGCCAGGCCTGACGAATTCTGCCAGGGCCAAGTTATTTAATACGTTGCTTTTTTACCTTAGGCTGCATGAAATGTAAAAGCCTCGGCTGCTTAGGCCAGGTTTCTGTCAATCAAAGCTGTAAAGTGCTTTTAATATCTGCACAGTGTCGTGGGGGCCTGTGGTGCTGGGGAGGGATCCTCTCTCAGTTGTTAATACAGCCAGCTGGTTGAGAGCTTGCTTTTTTATTTAAACCCCTGCTCTGGTGGTTCTGTGGAGCCCAGAAATAGGGAGTTGGCTGCAGTTACCTCGTTTGTCTTACGTGATGCTTAAAAGATGAGCTTTTGTTTTTGCAATCTGTGATGCAGGTCTAACATGTTGAGTTAATAACAGCCTTCAAAAGCTAAGCAAACAAAAAAGTCCTGCTTCTGAACTGCTGCTTCACCTGAAAGTGTTGGGTACAAGTTTTTACTAAGCAAGTGGCTGCATTTCCTATGCAGGAAACACACACTGTCATCTTTTGGAGACCTGGAATAATTTAAACTTACCGTTACCTGCTAGTTTGAAGTTCCCTCTTAGATGTGTGCAAACTGCTTTTGAAGAGTGTCAAATGTGTTTGCATGAATGTGCAAAAGAGAGGCTAAGAAAGGCAGACACAAGGAATGTGCTAAAATAGAGAGAGAACCACATTTGCATGTGTTTGCATGGGGAATCTAGGGAACTAAATGCAAACCACCAGATTTGCACACGCACAATGAGAATGTTTTACTTGGATCAAGTGTTTCATTGCTTTTAGGGTAAATGTTTGTTAGCAGATAAAACTGTTCTTCAAGATTGTTGCAGTGCAAAGCTATCAGATGCTCTGCAGCATTTACCTGTAGGGTTCATCCCGATTTTTTTTCCTGTTAATCAAAAACCCGCTGGGGCAACAAGTTGCCTTCTTGTGGCTGCGTTGTTACAGTGAGTGCTGGCTGTGTAACAAGTGTTGCAGGTGACCTCCACGCACACCTATTTCAGTGAATCTGATCTGCAAACACTAAATGTCCACGTGTGATTTACATGTAACAAAAACCTGACATTCATTGGGCTTCATAAATTTGCAACTTAAACAATGCTGTGCTTTATAAAAACATCACCCTGGCTGAAAACGTGGGCGGGTCCTTCAAACACAAGCAGGTAAGTGCCAATTATGGTAAGATGATACATCCTGGCAAACCCTTTAAGATGTGGATCATCAAACGCTACAGGGTGTTCTTTGTACCTCTTTCAGGAAAAGCAGAACTCGGAAAGGTCTGGGCAGCAACACTTAATAGCTGTTTATTTAGGGGTTTTTATTATGTGTGACTGTATGTTGTGTAAAGCTTTCTCTCTCATTCCTCACCGTTAGCTTGCAATTAACTGGCAGATATGCATAAAGTTTGTCATTTCTACTAATTACTGGGCTAAGAATGTCTGGCTCAGAGAGAGAATCTGTTTATGACATAAAACCCAAGAGATTTGGTGAAAGAAGATAACCTTTCCACACTATGAGCCAAGAAAGCTCTACTTCAAAATATAACTGATGTCAATTCTCTCCTGACTTGAGAACGAAAATGTTATGACACAACCTGTAATTTAGGCTAAAAATTAACCCACTTCAAGTAGCAAAAATAATAAGCCAAGAACATCCAAGGCTCCAAATCTAATTAACTAAGCAAAATAGGATAGCAAGGACCTGGAAAAGAAAATGCACTCCTTTATGCTGTTGTGTGACCATCCTTTCTAGGGAAGAAGAGCAGTATTTGAGTGTAATGCCCTGCATTGCTGAAGCTTCTAAAAATTGGTCCTGCTCTCCTGGCTGGAAGGAGTTCACAGGTTTCACTTGTATGAGGCAAAACCAAGACTTATAGTAAATATACGTATGGGTTGGGTTGGGTTTGGTTTGGTTTGGCATGGAATGAAAGACATCTTGGAACAAAAAAAAAGATGAAATGGGATTGGAGGTGGTGAAGCAGATGAGCTGAAAACCAGGGATTGTCATGGACAGGAGCAGCTGAAGGGTGAGATGTAAACACTGCAGATGTGCTCAATGAATGTCCCTGTCCTTCTCAGGGGTGTTAATCTTAACATATCTTTATTCACCTCTCAGCTGTTTGCTCATCGGCCCTGATTAGGATCCAACATAACTGAGTACTTTCAGTTGCCGTCCTTTGGAAGCTTTTTATCTCTGCAAATGGCATCTCCTCCTGAAGTCCTGTTTATAATATATAAAGGTCAGTTGCCTAATGAATATTTCTTGGTGTATAGAAATTACCAGTTTTTAAACCAGCACGTTTCTGCTGGTACCACAGGCACCCCGAACTCCTGCCTCTGACAGGTTATAGCAACGCTTCATAAACTCTTAGGAACTTTTCAAATGTTTAAAACAACCTGAGAAGAGAGGGGAGAAAATAAAAAAAAACTGTTACTGTAATTACACTGGCCTAAGGCTATCAATAAACCAAGCTGTAAATTAAAAAAAAAATATTTTAAACCACCGGAGTAAAACCCAACCAAACAAAACTAAATCCAAACAAAACTAAAAGCAAACAAAACAATCCCCAAAACACAGCAACCTAAAAACACCCCAAACCAAACAAACAAAAGCCCCAAGGAACAACCCAAATGCAGTTAAGAAAGGGGAGGGGGGATGTCTTAAAATCCCTGAGACGACATGAAATTCTGGGTTTATTCGTTAAAAAGCGAGTGTTTCCCGTGGCTTGATGCCCGTTCCCAGGGCTGCCCTGGTCCCTCGCTCGGACCTGTCCCGGGGTGTCCCCGCACGGAGCAGCTTCGGGAGCTCCTCCTTTTCCCTGGAGCGCGTCCCTTCCCTTCCCTGTGCCTGGCCGAAGGCGCTGGAAGCCGGGCAGGGCCGGCGGTGCCCGAGGGCTGTCCCTGCAGCCCCGAGGCCACACGGCACGCAGGCCTACAGCAACGCCGCTTCTCGACAACAAGAGGGTCTGATTACAGATCACGATTTCCAGTGGCGATTAAACCCTTTCTCCCCGCAAGGCTCCCGCAGCCGGAGCAGCGCCCGGAGCGGAGGCGCGGAGCCTCCCCCGCGGCCCCTCACGGCGGGGCCGGGCCCCACGTCAGCCGCCGCCGCAGCCTCTCCGCGGGCCCCTCGGTGCTGCATCGGCCCGCCCTCCGCCCGCCCTGCCCGGGCAGCGTGTGCGCCGGAGCCACCGCCCCGGCCGCTGTGCCCGCTCCGCCGCCGGCACAGGGAGAACGAGCAGCCGGCACAGGGTGAACCACAACCCCCGGGGAGGGTGAAACGCCGCCCGGCCGAGGGGTGAACAACCAGCCGGGCGCGCCCCCCGCCCGCCTTCCCTCCTCCCTCCCTTCCTCCCTCCCCTCTTCCTTCCCCTCCCTCCCCGTCCCTTCCTCTCTCCGCCTGGTGCCGCCACCGCCGAGGAGGAGGAGGAGGAGGAGGAACATGGCGAAAGCGGAGCAGGTCCTCAGCCTCGAACCGCAGCACGAGCTCAAATTCAAAGGTACGAGGCGGCCGCCGCCATCCCCCGCTCGCCGCCGCTCCCCGCGCCGGGCGGGCTGCGCGGCCGCGCTCCGGCCCCGCTCCCCGGCAGCCATTTTCCGGGGGCCGGGCACCGCCGGCAGAGAAAATGTCCTTCAGCGCCGCGCCCTCGCCCCGCCGGGCCCCCCCAGCCCCGCGGCGCCCCCGGGCCGCCCCCAGCCCCGCGGGGGTCCCCCCGGGCCGCCCCTCCCCGCGCCGCGGGCGGCTGCGGCAGCGCCCAGGGCGGCTCGGGCACTCGGCGCGGGGGGGTCCCGGCCGCCGCCTGCGCCGGCAACACCCCCGCTCCCCCCGCGCTGACCTTCCCTGGGCAGCGCCCCGCAGGGCGGGGACCCCCCGGGACAGCGCCGGCACCGGGGGAGGGGTCTCCGGGCACCCCCTGCCCAGCCCGGGGGGCGTGAGCGGCCCCGGCCCAGGGGTCTGGTGCTCAGTGTAGGACAGCGGTGTCCGTGAGGTGGGACTGGGAGCCCGCTGTCACAATCCCTGGGAATGGATAAAGGGCTCAGCCGAAAGGAAAAAGCAGGAAATTGCTGCCTCTGATGCCGTTTAAGTGCGCTGTGTAGCTGATCGGTATGAAATCCAGAGGGAGGGAGGATGTTGGGAATAAGGTGGTGAATGAGGATTTCTTCTGTAACGTGTCCCAGTCACTGTGGGGTTGTTTCAACCTTGTCTCTCTCCGGCCTCTGGCCAGGTGCTGGGCAGCACTTCCTGCAATTATTATCATCGTCATCATCATCATCATCATTATTATTATTATTATTATTCAGCGAGCTATTTGGATAAATAAATAATCTGCCTGTGCAAAAATCCATCCTTTTTCTAAATAAAAGTCTTGAATGGGTTTGGGCGTCCGCTGGCGCTGAAATTCCTGTCTTGCAGCCTGACAGCACGGCTGTAATACAATATTCGGGGATTACAAATAAGCATTCAGCAAGTTTATTTATGCGACCAGAGTCAGAGGTGTTTTATGGCTTCGCTTGATTTTCTGGCAAACGTGCTTTTTTTAAAAAAAATAAGGATTCATTTATTGGCTTCTGGCAAAAACAATACTCCTTTGAAAAAAAGCTTTCATGTACATTTTGAAATATAAGGGAGGTCTGTATACCAGTTTTTTATTAGTAAATATATTTGAACTAATGATAAGAAATGGGTTTATCTAACAGCATGTTAATAAACACTGGGTGGAATGAATATATCTTTGTTGTAAGCTGAAGTTGTTATGGCAGCAGTATCAAACATGCTTAAGAAGGAAACTATTGTTGTTTTGACATTCTTTGTGTTAAGTATGAGCAGATTAAAATCAGCTCTTGTTCTGGATAAAACTGCTTTCAGCAAACAAGCAAATCCAAGCTCAGGTGGGCTAAAAGTGGGGCCTTAATTGGCACTGACTTGGCTAATGAGACATAATTGTGGTTCAGGGGTTGTTTTTCTTCTTTCACTTCAGCACAGGTAGGTATAGACCCAGTCAGGCTCTGTTTTTTGTTGAAATAAAGATAGTTAGTCAGGCTGCCTTTCTTTCAGTTGAGGTTCTGGGCTAGGGAACCAGTAGCCATTGAAGTTAAATCAACCAGCCATAGTGATTTTGGTTGCCAAATCTTTAGCCAGCAACATATATTCCTTACAGCATAAAATGTTACTGGACTAACTGCACCTATTAAATGACTTAGTTTCAAAGTACACTTAAATATTAATGTTCAAACAGACTTAATGCTGTGGGCAGCATTCATATGCTTTGGCAAGACCTCTGCCTTACAGTCCTTTCTAGCAAGCAGGGCTGAGCGCTGTCCTTCATTCAGGAGAGCCCAAGTTGAGGTACTCATGAAGTAGATTCTGCTCCAAGCATTTCTTGTCCTACTGACTTTGTGATGACGTACTGCCTGGTGGTAGGGCTGAAATGGTTTTGTCACCTTTCTGAATAGTTGCATTTATTTCCAGAGCGTTTCTTGGCCCCCCTGCGAGTAGGTCCAGACTGGCAGAGGTCACGTTGCTGCTGACTGGTCTGGGTGTGCTTCCCTTCCTCATGGTTTGCACTGAAAGATTTCCTGTTTAATGTAGCAGAAGGAGATAGGACTGTGAGCCAAGTGTCACAAACCCTGGAAATGGATGAAGGGCTTAATCAAAATGCAGACAGGTAGAAAAAGCAGCAAATTGTTAGGGCTGGTGCTGGTTGAGTGCTCTGTGTAGCTCTTCAACATAAAATCTAGAGGGAGGACGTTGGGAATAGGTGAATGAGGAGTTCTTCTATAACACATCCCCATCACTGTGGGGTTGCAACCATCTCTCTTTCTCGGTCTCCAGTTTCACTTGTGAAGGGTTGAAGACCTTTTTAAAGCAGCTTTTTTAGCCCCTTGGTTTGCAGCGAACCTTCTAAATCCGGCTGGAGGTCTGTTTCAAAATACCGTGCTTGTGTCTTGTTTGAAAAAAAAAATATCAAAGGACTTTTTCATGCTGGAATTTTTTATTTTTTTTTTTTCACAGCATGTGAACATGAGCAGGGGTTGTCTTTCCTCCCGCCTCGCATCTCCTCCACCATAGCACACACGCTCCAAAATAGCAGCAGCATGTGCTGTGCTGAAATGCAGCTGCGAGTCGTGGGAGGCTGGACACCATTAGGTGCCTGGAGGTGCCCGTTTCCCTGCTCTTTGATGCCATGTGAAACAGGAGCTTCACTGCCTTCAGTGGCTTCCTGCACTTCTTGGTTATTGTAGATCTGCAGCCCAGGGGAGAAATCATCCAACTAAACGTTTACATCTCAGACTTTACTGGTGACAAAGGGTGAAAACCAGCATTGTTATACATGACATTTACATTTATGTTTCCCTTTTTTTTGTTGTTTTTTTAACCTGAGAGATAAAGTCAAACAATCTGCCAAGAATTTATTACAGCATTCAAGGCTCTGACTTTAGGAATTGCTAGATTTGAACTTGGACAGGGATGTGGAATTGTGACCCCTGTTGCCTGGTGCTCTGTGATACAGTGTTAATGCCACGCTCACAGGAGGGCAGGCCAGCCTGTCCTTTCAGCCCATCAGGAGTAGAGATCGGCTGTTTAATGTCAGCAAGTAAAATTCTGTTAAAATACAGCCTATTTTAGAACTTGCCTGGGTGTGTGGTGTTTGAGGTGCTGCTGGGTTGGTTGCAGGCACAGGCTGTCGGGGCAGGGCTGTTCAGGGGGGTCCCACAGAACGGAGGGGCTGTAGGCTCAGGGACGGTTCAGGAGCATTTTTGGAGGTTTGCTCCAGGTTAGGCTGGACTTATGACTCAGCACTCTGCCCGTGCTCCCCAAGTGGCTCACGGCAGTACTGCCAAGCAGGGATTAGTGCCTCGCAAAACTCTGCGAGTCACTGCCAGTTGGAAATGCAGGTTCCTGTCGCCAGCTCGTGATTTCACACCTGTGCAAAATGTCACTGTGTGTAGCTTTGCTTTCTGCAAAGGGCACAATAATACACCAGAACAGCCAATCCTCTGCAGTCCTAATAGAAGGGATTCAGACTTGGCCTGGGGCCTAGGGTTGGTTCTGAGCTGTCACCTGTCACTGGCTCAAGTGCATCCCCTGGGTGCATCAGAGCTGCAGCCCAAAGGTGTGGCCTTGGCCTGTATAATATGCTCAGTCCAACAGTGCATCTGCAACAGTGTAAATGTTCAATATTTAGTATTTAGCTCCAATCCCATGCAGTTTGTGTAACCTGCAGTACCGTGGCTGGGTGGCTGCCACTCCCCGATGAGACAGTCTGAGCTCCTGCAGGTCAGGCTGTAGAAAGCAGAGGTGTGGACATTGCAGTGCAAGTGTGCAGAGCCTCCTGGATCCCACATGAATATCCCATTCCTACCAGGTACCAGGGGAAGGCTCTTCAATCTGGCAGTCCAGTAATGTTTGGGATGTAAGATCAGCGTTTCCTGAACCTGCAGCTGCCAAGGCTCAGAGCAGAGGTGGAGAACTTGGTCAAACATTGCAGCTGGGCTGTACAGTTCCATCTGCACCCCTGTCCTGACCCATCAGGGATGACTGAACCACTCCTGCACTGAATGTACTGGGAGGGATTTGACTCTGATTCTGTTCTGTACTGGATAAATAGGGATTTCTAGTCACTGCCACAGGAACAGGCCATGTTTAAGAATGTAAAATACTGACAAGTGTTGTAAGAAGTTGCCTGTTTGGTGTAATAAATATACATCTTTTAAGCTGACAATTTACATGATGTTTTCTTTAAACTCTTAGAGCCCTCCTGGTATTGACAGCAGAATGGCAGTCAGTGCTAGGATTTCTTTACTCTTTGAAGGCTGCTGTGCCATTGGCTCTCTGCTTTCCTGCTGGAAAATGTCCCAGCCCATGCTTCCCTCTGTCTGGCCTGATTCCGAGTAAAATCATTGTTACTGCATTAAATACGAGTAAACCTTTACATCTCCCTACATATTTGAATTTGATTATCAAGTTAGAGGCTTAAAAAGGGTCTTTAAATAACAGGCAGCTTCCTGAATCTAAACAAATCTACCCCAAAATGTAGCCCAATTATCAAACAAAATAGTCCTTTTCTGATGCATTTCATGTTATGCTCACTTTTCTTGCAGCTTAGCTTAAATCAATAACTTATTCTATTAAGTGTTAGTTTATTTTTGTACTGAATTATTCTGATTTCACGTGCTCCCATTAGTTTTATAATTACTTCAGTGCTTTGCACAGACTCTTCGCTTTAAAAGAGAGGTATTTGAAGAAAAAAAACCCAGAGGTAAAAACACAGTAGTGATGCATTGTGAGTGTCTTACAACACATCTCGGTTTTTTGAAAGGTGGAATAAGTTGAAGATCGTGCTTCTCTTGAACTTCCTTAATCTGCTACTGTCCTGTGCACTAACAGCTCCACTGGGAAAGGGGACAGGAATTGTTCATGTGGGGACGAACAGAAATTTGGAGTAGGATGGTTTGAGAGCCACATAACAATGGAGATGTGTGAAGCAGTCAAGGAGGT